TTTAAATAAATAACGTAGGTAAAAAGGGTAAAATAAAAACTAAATAGAGGAAACCGGCGACGCGATCGTCAGGTTTCATCGAAAAGTAGGCGTGTCGGACTATCGCTTTTCACACAAAAATTGGGCCACGCCCCCCGTATGGTTCCGGGAGAACCGGATTTTAGGTAGGAAGGAGCGAAAGGACCTCCACCGGAATACCCCTAAGCGACGTGGCGAACGTGGGGGGCCCCTATTGAAACTTTATGAGAGCTCTTTTTAAAGCTTTAAATCTCTACTTTAAGATGGTGCATTATATTTTTCTTAAAAAATTGAAATAATAGTTGAAAAAACAAAAAATAAAAATATTTCATGAAAAATCCGTGAAATTTATTGTTAAATAAAGTTTAATAATGTACAAATTTTTTTTTGTTTAATAAACCATCAAAGAATTAAGTTAAGATTTTAAATAAAGTAAATCCAGCGAAAAATATTTTTTTTATTTATAGTAATAAGTGGAAAATAACAGCAACAAAAAATAACGTTTTTTGATGAATTGATTTAATATTCATTTTTAAAACATATATTCTGTATCTGAAATTGTGAATAGAAATTCTCTTATTGATGTAGACATAGATATGAGTCTAATATATATATACAGGGTGATCCATTAGAAATTGATTTAAAATATTTTCAAGTTTGTACCTTCACAGCTAGGGGGCGCAACTGCTGTAGTGTTACAGAAAATTGTCGGTTTTTCGAAATTTCGCTTATATAACCTAAGTTGCAAATACATTTTTTAGATACACTGTTACACCCTTCACAAGTTTTATTCGAGGCGGGTGTTACGTGCTTAATAGCCCGTGCTACAACTAAGGTAAATACGCTTAATGAATTTCGCTACAAATGTTTTGCTAAAGAAACAACCAAGTCAAAAACAATGAATTTAGCTGCACTTCCACCATCAGAAAATGTAGCTAAATTACATTTTTTAAGAGTTTATTACCAAGTCCATATTTGGCTTGGTAATAAATTACAAGCAGAACATTGGGGCTGGAAACGAGATCAGTTAGGTATGACTCCAATTATCATGACTCCAAATTCAGCGCCCAATGAACTGCTAAAAATGATTTTTTGTGGGTGCAAATCTGGCTGTGGCAAGAATTGCGACTGCAGGGTTGATTTGCACTGCAGCATGCTCTTCCTGTGCTGGCATTGATTGTCTTAATTGCCCAGCGGGATGACTTTGTACGAAAAAATGCTTAGAACATGATTTTGTTCGTAATAGAAATAGCTACAAAATGGCGGTGGTCCGATTACGAAATTTGCAATAACAAAGCCATGAGATTGAAAAAACGGTATAAAACGCCAATTTTTTTAAGTTGCTGTAAAAATGTCAATTATAAACAAAAAGTGATCAAACTTTCGAAAACTATAGTTCAATATATATACAATAATGACGCTAAAGCCGAAAATCAGGAGAGCAAAACTTTTTGTTCTATAAGGTGTTATACATTCATCGGCATCTGAAACTCGAAACTTTGCCAAATTTGTTCGAAGCTTTGCTAACACTTGAAATTTGGTACACGCATAGTGTAAATATGCAGAAACCAAAGGCAATTTGCAAAATTCAAGTATCTTCATTTTTACAGTTTTGGTAAGGTTTTATACGTCACCCTAGTTTTATACGTCACAGTTTTTTTTCATTTTTGGATGTATATTTATAAAATATTCCATTACGGTAGATTAGCCAGCATAATTACCTACAATTTAAAAAAATATATATTTTCATCGTTTAGATCCTAAGCTACTTAACATTTTGCGCCTGTTAGCCGTTGTCGTACATTATTCAACATATTAACATAAAACAAAATCCTACGTGTGGGGTAAACCTTTAACTTTAAGTAAACAATTGTTTAAATTTACTGTTGCATATTTCTAATAATATCAAGCGCCGAAGAGCGGAGCTCGCGCTCGAAAATGAAAAGTGAAAGGTTTACCCCACACGTACGATTTTGTTTTATGTTAATATGTTGAATAATGTACGACTACGGCTAACAAACGCAAAATGTTAAGTAGCTTAGGATCTAAACGATGAAAATATATATTTTTTTAAATTGTAGGTAATTATGCTGGCTAATCTACCGTAATGGAATATTTTATAAATATACATCCAAAAATGAAAAAAAACTGTGACGTATAAAACTAGGGTGACGTATAAAACCTTACCAAAACTGTAAAAATGAAGATACTTGAATTTTGCAAATTGCCTTTGGTTTCTGCATATTTACACTATGCGTGTACCAAATTTCAAGTGTTAGCAAAGCTTCGAACAAATATGGCAAAGTTTCGAGTTTCAGATGCCGATGAATGTATAACACCTTATAGAACAAAAAGTTTTGCTCTCCTGATTTTCGGCTTTAGCGTCATTATTGTATTTATATTAAACTATAGTTTTCGAAAGTTTTATCAATTTTTGTTTATAATTGACATTTTTACAGCAACTTTAAAAAATTGGCGTTTTATACCGTTTTTTCAATCTCACGGCTTTGTTATTGCAAATTTCGTAATCGGAACACCGCCATTTTGTAGCTATTTTTATTACGAACAAAATCATGTTCTAAGCATTTTTTCGTACAAAGTCATCCCGCTGTTATTTAAAGAAAACTACTAAAAAAATTTTTTTCACGATTAAATTGTTAATAACTTTTTTTCCTGATAAAATACTTTGTCAGCAAATTAGCCTGTTATTGTACTCATCATTTAAAGTAGACCTGTGTAGTTATTTCCGGGTTATCAAGGTTTGACACACGCCCAACCTCTACCAACTGGACTATACAGGGTCGGAAAGTCCCCATGGTTCATCGGCCGTTACGTGAGAGCGATAAAGAAAGTCAGAAATCCATGCGATAGAGAAAGATGGCTATAATGAAAGCGTCTAATAGTCACCGCCCATTTCGCCCTTCCACAAATAAGATCCACTTCTTATTTGTGGAAGGGCGAAATGGGCGGTGACTATTAGACGCCTTCATTATAGCCATCTTTCTTTATCGCACGGATTTCTATGACTTACTTTGTCGCTCTAACGTAACGGCCGATGAACCATGGGGACTTTCCGACCCTGTATATAAATATTGAAAGTTCCTAAAAATCGTCAAAATGAGCAATAAATTGAAAACGGTTCTATTTCTTGATCAATTTGTTGAATCTAGGAAATTTATCACAATTTTTGCATTAATGTAGCGATATAACAACCTCTATTTATTAGGTAAAAAAATTGATAAATGTAAACCAGGTTAAGTTGCATAGTCTTGTTTAAGTAATTAATCTAAGCTCTTGTCATACAGATAGCGAACTTCATACAGAATATCTTGACTAAAATTCAATAATTATTTGTAGGCATATTTTTAGATTTTTTTCTTTGTCAGCCATTGTATATTTTGTATGTTTTACCACCTTCTTTCTATCCTTTTGCCGAAATGATCACTGTAAAATTTTGCATACATAATTCCATTAAAGCAGCTCTTGTCTCGTCTTCTTGACATAAGGTTGATTTAATTAATTTTTAAATAGATTTTCGCAGGTGGCAAAGTACCCAAATAAACAAAGAAAAATATTAAATGATTCCTTATAGTACAACTAGTACAAGATGCTAAAAAATATTGTTTTTAGATAAACGAATAAATATATGTATTTTAGGAAAACAACAATATAAGATACTCTAATCCAGAATTAGATATGATAACCAAAGACATAGAAGAATTGTCTAGAGAAAAAATTGCATTGGAAATAGATATCGCACAGAAGGAAGCAGACATAAAAATAAAAAGTGGTGAAATAAAAAGTTTACAAGTAAGAATTATTATTACATTTTATATACAAGATTTATTTGAATTCAAATAAAGAAGTACAAATGCAACCAGATAATCTTTAAGACAAAATATAATAATTGGACCAAATACAGGGTGTGCTATTTAACACTCCCGCTGCCAATATCTCCGAAATGAAGAAATTTATTTTAGTTCCGGAAATTGGGAGTATTAGGTCCCTCCAATAGCTTCAAATTGCAGTTAGAATTGTTAGTTCAAATCTTTATGTATAGATGGCGTGGCGATGCCAAAAAAGTTTTTGATCCCTGGAAAGTGGAAATTCAGTCCATCTGAAAGATCGTTAAATTTTGAGTAATTTTTGTAATATAAAGTTTTTCCTTATATTTACTTGTTTTCGAGATATGTCGGCTTGAATATACAATGTATGATGTAACAGGAAAATCTATTATTTTATTTAAATTACACCGAGACAAAATATTCTTTTAAAATATTGTTATAATGGCTTTATTAAGCCGGATAGGAAAACATTTGTAAATTTATGCCAAAATTTACTAATGTTTTACTAAATCGAAACGACATCGAATTAAAACTGTTAGGAAAGATGAGAAACAGTTCAAGTGTTACAAATGATTAATAATAATCCCAAGACTTCCCTAAGGCAACTTCAGGTCGAGTCTAATATTTCTACGACATCTTGCCGCAGAATTTGAAAAGACAATCGCTATTTCCCCTATAAAATTCACCTCGTCCAATATTTAAGAGCTGGTGATGAGCAACGGAGATGAGATTTTATAGCTCAATTATCAGTGTTCTATGAAGAAAACAATAATTTACTTAATAATATCTTATGGAGTGATATAATAATGGTACGGTAATACGCCATAATTGCCGCTATCAGTCTGACAACAATAAGTAATACACTAAACCCGAAATCAATCTGTTTTTTCTGTAAATGTTTGGTGCGGCATTTTGAATGGCTATTTAATTGGACCATATCTTTACCACGGAACATTAACAGATAACCGTTATTTACATTTTCTAAGAAACGAACTACAAAATTTATTGGAAAACATAGGGTAAATGATTTATAGCTCCAACAGGATGGAGCGCCCCCGCACATTACTAATGCTGTACAAGAATACTTAAATCAGAGGTTTCTGGGAAGGTGGTTAGGTACTAACGGAGTTATAAAGTGACCGACTCGTTCACCAGATTTGACCCCATTGGATTTTTTCCTATGGGGTCATTTAAAAAACATTGTATATCGTTGTATAGAAGACATAGCAGATTTGTATAATAAAATTTATGCAGCTACGGCACGGCGGCTTTAGATCGTGACATATTATTAACAGCCTGTAATGTCGAACTAACGAGATGACTAACATTGTGTATTAATGCTGAAGGACTGTTACTTTTACTGTAATTCATCATTTGTTTTTTCATAATTTATTGTTTATTAATTAGTATGTGGTGCGAATAAAGTCATTATAACAATATTTTAAAAGAATATTTTTGTCGCGGTGTGATTTAAATAAAACAATAGATTTTCCTGTTACATCATACATTGTATATTCAAGCCGACATATCTCGAAAACAAGTAAATATAAGGAAAAACTTTATATTACAACGTTCCAGGGATCAAAAACATTTTTTAATATCGCCACGCCATGCCATCTATACAGAAATATTTGAACTAACAGTTTTAACTGCAATTTGAATATATACGAGAGATCTAACAACCCCAGTTTCCGGAACTAAAATAAATTTCTTAATTTCGGAGATATTGGCAGCGGGAGTATTAAATGGTCGGTAGCCGCACGGTTTAAGGCGTCAGTACTTAAATCGATGTGTGCTAATTCTGCCCGGGTTCGATTCCCGCGGCCGGTAGCCGTAGATTAGCTATGCTTGTACGGAGGATTGGCACCCTCTGTATGGTAGGGTGGAAGAATGTTGGCTTGGGTCAATGCGAGAGATTGACACCGGTTGGCATTTGACCGCCCCCCTAATTAATGAGGTTTTCCAGGTTTCCCTCATTCCTGCACTGAATGGTGGTTAGGGCCTACCAACATAAGTCGTTCCTGGGCGCAAATGCGGCCTGCGTAATAATAATATGCCGCCTCCTCTCCCGCACAAGCCTCCGACTTCTGGGCTAACTCTCGTAGTTAGAATGAGGAGTAGAGATATTATTATATTATTATTANGTCGTTCCTGGGCGCAAATGCGGCCTGCTTAATAATAATATGCCGCCTCTTCTCTCGCACAAGTCTCCGACTTCTGGGCTAATTCTCGTAATTAGAATGAGGAGTAGAGATATTATTATTATTATTATTATTATTATTATTATATACATTAATCTAAAATTGCTTTATTTGCAAGTACAAGAAGTTTAGTTTTTTTGAAAAACACTACAAGTCAGCAATGTCCCGAAAGAGTTTGACGTAGATTAAAGAATTGAATTATCTGAATTTGTATTATTAAGAATCTCAAAATTTTAATGTCTAAGAATTTTTCAAATTCTATAAGTAAATTTCTTTCACAATAATTGTATATCAAGGGATCTCTTTCATTTTATTGGCAAAATGAATAATTTTCGAGTTATTTTTTGATCTGAAAGAAGGTTGCTATACAATTGAATAAAATAGTTCGGGCGAATTAGTTTTTTTTTCAAAAATCGGGCCTAACTCAAACTTTACGGGCTTAAAATTGAGTAAAAAATACACAGAATAAAAGCCTAAATTTGTGTATTTGTAGAGGTGGAGCGTCATGTTGTTTATAACAAAAGAAAAAAATAATAATTGATATTTTTTCAATTTTTCGCTTATATCTCCGAAAATAAGCCTCTAATCAACATGAAGTATACTTATCGATTTTGTTCCTGAGGAAATTTGCTACAAGGATAGACGTTCGCGAATGCTCGCAAATTATTTTTTACATTGTAAAATTAGCAGTGAAAAAAAAAATGTGCTGCAAAATATTCAGCATTAAATAAAAAGAACGAATTTGACCGAAATTGGATGAAACTACAGTAAAAAATTATCTCGGCTCCTATTGGTATGATCGAGACGCTTTTTTTTAATTCACTATTTAATGTAATTAGTTTGAAATCTGTAAATTAAAAAACTGCCGCAATAAGGACCCCCGTTTTTTTGCTTTTTTCTTAATAACTTTTTTATTTTACAACTTAAAAATCTGAAATTTAGGCACGTGAGACGTGAGACAATGTAATTACTTTTGCATCCTTTTTTTTTACCGAATTTCGATATCTTGACATGGGCAGAAGATATACGCGCTCGCATTTTCGACTTTATAATTTTGAAATTGGGGGTCCGGATTGTGGGTATTTGTTGAGCACCCCAACAGTTATCTTTTCCTGTCTATATATACAGGGTGTCTCATAATTAGCTGCCAACCCTGAACAGGCCGATTCTATGATCAAAACTAAGTATAAAAGTTCATATGAACATGGGTCCCGAAATGCTTCCTAAGGGCACAGGGACCCATTGAAGAGGAATGGAAATCATTTTTTTGCAATATATCTCAATCGCGTTGTGATAAATGAATGAAATTTGGTATACACAGCTAAATTTTGATGAGCGATTTGATGGACTAATCCATTTATTTCCACAAGGTCCATTGGGGTGGGTACGGGGGGGCCCTTGGTACTTTGCGTGTGTAACTTTTTCATCTTTGACTTTTTAACAAATTGGACAGCAAATTCCGTTTTCCCGAACTGTTTTACGTTAAAAAGGTACTCTTGTTTCAAATCGTTATCTTTAACGGTTTCTGAGAAAATCGCTCTTGAATTAATCCCACTTTGGTCAATTTCATAGTAATTTAAACAAAATTATCAAGGTATTCTTATGTCAAAGTATTGTCAACCCGATTGCCAATTTAATAGTTCTAAGCGAAAAAAATGGAAGAGTTTACGGGACAAGAGTTAGTTGATATGATATTTATTTATGGCTTTTGCGATGGTAATGCTGCAGCGGCAGAACGCGAGTACGGGAGAAGGTTTCCAAACCGAAGGCTGCCATCAAGGAGGACATTCCCTACGGTATTCCGCAACTTAGCTGCAACCGCCACTTTTCGAAAGGCACCGGGTCAAGGACGTCCCAGGATTAATAGGGAAGCGGAGGTCCTTGACGCTATTGAACAAGATCCTACGACTAGCATACGGAACATTTCAAGGCAAATAAATGTTCCTCGGCCAACGGTACTACATATCTTAAAGATTTCCTTAACAGAATTGATTAGATGTGCTACTAACATTTCAGGTTGGAAGAATATTAAAGCGACAAGGTCTACATGCCTATCACTATCGACGTGTACATGGCTTGATACCAGAAGATTTTGCGCCACGTATGCAATTTTGTCGCTGGATTTTGTCGCTGGACAACGAGCAAGCTTCCAAAATTTTGTGGTGTGACGAAGCTACTTTTACCCGAAATGGAAAATTAAATTTTCATAATTCTCATTATTGGGAAGAAGAGAACCCACATGTTGTTCGGAGAACAAACTTCCAGCAACGGTTTTCCATAAATTTATGGGCGGGAATAATTCACGACACTCTGATTGGACCTATTGAAATTCCACAACGTCTCAATTCAAATCTTTATTTAAACTTACTTCAAGAAAATCTTCCCCAAATTCTCGATGATCTGCCTCTAAATTTACGACGTAACATGTTTTTTCAACACGATGGAGCCCCGGCACATAGTGGTCGCAATGTTCTAAATTTCCTAAACGAAAATTTCGCTGGACGGTGGATAGGGAGGCACGGACCGGTAGCTTGGCCGCCGCGTTCTCCCGACCTAACCCCGCTGGACTTCTTTTTCTGGGGATATCTAAATCAAAAAGTTTACGCCACCGAAGTCGATACCCGTGAGGAATTGCTGCAGCGTATCAATGATGCAGCCAATGAAATTCGTCAAAACCGTTTTAGCATCTTAATAGCTTCGAGAAGTGTTACACGTAGGGCAAGACTTTGTATCAGAGAAGGTGGAGGGTTTTTTGAACAGTTTTTAAAATAGCTTGTTGTCTGTTATCAAAATTAAGTTTCCATCTTATGATCCCTTCGAAAAGTGACGGTTGCAGCTAAATTGCGGAATACAGTGAGGAATGTCCTCCTTGATGTCAGCCTTCTGTTTGGAAACCTTCTGCCGTACTCGCGTTCTGCCGCGCAGCATTACCATCGCAAAAGCCATAAACAAATCATCATATCATAATTGTTCTACATCAATAATGTGTATTACTGATTACGTATTAAATTATTATTATTATTTTTTGTTTAAATTACTATGAAATTGACCAAAGTGGGATTAATTCAAGAGCGATTTTCTCAGAAACCGTTAAAGATAACGATTTGAAACAAGAGTACCTTTTTAACGTAAAACAGTTCGGGAAAACGGAATTTGCTGTCCAATTTGTTAAAAAGTCAAAGATGAAAAAGTTACACACGCAAAGTACCAAGGGCCCCCCCGTACCCACCCCAATGGACCTTGTGGAAATAAATGGATTAGTCCATCAAATTGCTCATCAAAATTTAGCTGTGTATACCAAATTTCATTCATTTATCACAACGCGATTGAGATATATTGCAAAAAAATGATTTCCATTCCTCCCTCTTCAATAGGTCCCTGTGCCCTTAGGAAGCATTTCCGGACCCATGTTCATATGAACTTTTTTACTTAATTTCGATCATAGAATCGGCCTGTTCAGGGTTGGCAGCTAATTATGAGACACCCTGTATATCTATTAAGATATTTGCGTATTTGTGATGTTTATCAAAAATTTAAACATCCTGTTAATTGCAAATGAAGCATGAATTTTATCTGAAAATTATCTAGTAGTATTTGTGCTCCTTCACTTAAATATACAGGTTTAATCCCTCCACCCGGATATCTTTGCCCTGGTAAAATTTAGCGAAAAATGTTTCAAACAAAATACTGGACTCGGAGGGGGACATGTTAAGGTGACATTGCCCATGACCTTGAAGGTCATTTTTAAGATCATTTCAAGGTCAACTTTGTTTTTTAAATAGGAACCCTTATTTTAGACCCCGGATTCGGAAAGAGCGGAAAATTCTACGTTCAGTTGATGTATCATATGTAGGGTAGTATTATTAAATGTAGAATTTTCCGCTCTACTCGAATCCGAGATCAGAACTAAGTGTACAAAACTAAAGTTGACCTTGAAATGATTTTGAAAATCACGCCCAAGGTCAGAGCGAAGGTCACCATAACATGTCCCCCTCGGAGTCGAGCAACTTTTATTTTAAACATTTTTTGCTAAGCCTTACCTTTTGGTGGAATATTTGGGTGCAAAGATTGAGGAAAAAATAAAATTGACCTTTACATGACCTTGGGTGGTCAACCGACCCCACATATGATAACACCATCTATACGTAGAATTTCCCACTCTTTCCTAATCCGGGGTCAAAAATAAGGGTTTCTATTTAAAAAAACAAAGTTGACCTTGAAATGATCTTGAAAATGACCTTCAAAATCATAGGCAATGTCACTATAACATGTCCCCCTCTGAATCCAGTAACTTTTGTCTAAAACATTTTTCGCTAAAATTTACCTGCTCAGAGATTCGGATGGAGGGATTAAAATGGCCTACCCTATACAGGGTGTTCTCAAAGTTGAGTCATTTATTTTAACAGATGGTAGAACTCATAAAAAAGTCGACTTGCCAAAATTCGTTTATATAAAAGTTGTCAAATAAAGCTACTATTGACAATTATTTTAAAAAATTTAAATTTAAAAGCTTTATAATACGAACCTGATTCAAGTGTCAACAAAATGCAGCCGCAGCATGTCGCTTGTATACGGGAAGGTTTTCTTTACGAAATCATCCGGCTCCGCGGATGTTTGTAAATTTAGTTATAAGACTCCGTGACACAGTGTATTTAAACGAACAAGGAGGTCACGCTGGAAGACAAATTGTTTGTTTACTAACGTGAACCTAGTTCTCGTTATTGGGTCGACGAATTATTTAACACTGTAAAATCGAAAAGTGGACTCAAAACTGTGCAACTACAAAAAAAAAAGACATACCCAGTACCAGTAGTAAACAAACAATTTATGTTTTTACAACGGAGTGGACGAAAATGACAATAAATTAGGTTTGTATTATCAAGCTTTTAAATTTCGATTTTTTTAAATAATTGTTAATAGTTGCTTTATTTGACAACTTTATATAAACGAATTTTGGTAAATCGACTTTTTTATGAGTTCTACCAGCTGTTAAAATAAATGACCCAACTTTGAGAACACCCTGTATACATATGTATATCCTTTATAATATTGTTATTTATTAGAGCGAACTGGATACTTTAGCAGCTACTTTAAAACAACTAGAGAATCAAAAAGGGGAAGCTCAAAAAAGACTAAACGATTTAAAAGCGCAGGTAAAAAAATGAATTATGTTTAGTATGTTTAACAATGCTTTTCTCACGCCAGTTATAATGCTTGCAAAATTTACCTTAGTAATTTTATTTTAATTGTTACATAAATACAGTTTTTTTTTAAATAACTTTAATTATTATCTATCTATACGTTTCTACAAGTTTTTAGTTAGTATGGCATGTTGCATTTATTTTTTTAATAGAAAGCTGAGGTAGAGGTGAAATTCAACAATAATAAGGAACTTGAAGGACAAACTTCAAAGGTAAGTGTAAGCGACAAATTCATGTCAGGTTGCTTTCTGTCCTGCTAGGTGTTGGTTAAATCTTTTCAGTATTTTTCTAATAATACTAATTTTTAATATGTAAAATCAAATGTACCCATTCTTAATAAGAATATCTTTAAAGAGAAAAAAATACCTACGTAGTATTATAAATCCAATGTAAAAATTATAAGTATAATTTATGCCTTACTTACACTATTAAATTTAATGTCATGTTCAAGCCATAACTATATTCATAATATCAGATTAATGGAATTTGTCAAATGAAGCAGAAGAAAATAAAATAAAAAAATTGCTTGTGAAATTGTTAACTGCCTACTATAGCCTATATATTTTTATTTGTAATATATTTTTTTCACGACATTTAATGCATTATTTTGATATTGGGAATTTTATTAGACAAACTTCACTATTATTATGTATTTATTACAGGGTGTCCCGAAATTAGGGGGCAATATTTCTACAGGATGTTCTATGTCGAAAAAGATTACTTTTTCTTTATATAAACGTGGGTCCAAAAATTCTTCCTAAGGAAGTTATAGCCACTTAAAGGAGCCACTCTGATGATGTTTTTTTCTAAATAACTCCGAAACCGGTTGAGATAAATTTATGAAATTTGCTAACTAGCTTTACTCTTACGTGCTTAGTCCGCTACTAAAACGAAATTTACAAATTTTCATCGTATACGTTCCAGAACTAGGGGGGGGAGGTGGGTAAAATTTACCATAACTTTTTTTTTTGCTTTGACTTTTTTAACTTTTGACTGAAAAGTATAAAAATTTTTTTAGTAAAAAAGGTATTCTTGGTTCAGATTAGTAGAATGTTCCATTTTTGTGTAAAATACGTTTAAAAACAATGTTACATGTGTTAATCACCGAGAATCGAAATTGCCAATATTTTTTATCGTCGCAGGTTTTGAATAAGAAAAATGCATATGGCGTCATTTGCATTGGCAGTTCAGTTATTTACTTTATGCGAATTGTTATCAGTCGAAAATGGAACCTGTTACGAATTTAGTGTTAGCAGATATTCATAATACCCATTTCTGGTCAGACCAAAAATCCACGGCGCACAAATTTCGAAAATAAATTTGCAATAAATGTGTGGAGAGGAATGTTAGAGGACCAGCTACTAGGACTAATTCAGTTTCCCGTTTGTCTGAATGCAGAAGGATACTTAAACTTTCTGCAAAACGATGTAAGAGAACCATTGAATGATACACTGTTAAGCGTACACTTAACGTTACACGATAACAACATGGAGCCCCACCACACTTTACCCAAAATGTCATAAATTGGTTAAACGATCTCATTTTCCTGACAGGTGGATAGGTAGAGGTGGTCATTCCATGGCCTTCTCGATCTCTAGACCTAAATCCTCTAGATTACTTTCTGTGGGGTAGGATGAAGGCTGTAGTTTACGTTACTTAAATAAATCCTTTGGAAGAATTACAACAGAGGATTAATTTGGCTGCGAATCAAATAAGACAAAATAATTTTGAAGCTTTGAGGTCTTCGCGGGCAATTCGATGTCGAGCTGAAAAATGTATTCAGCAAAATGGAAATCTTTTTGAGCTAAAAATTACTATTGATATTAAAGATAAGTTTTATTAATAGTGTGGTTTTCAATTATTTTTATTAGTTTATTGTATATAACAATTCGCAAAAAGTAAATAAATGAACTTGCAATACAAATGACGCCAAACGCGTTTTTGTTCTTCACAACCCGCTACGATAGAAAATATTGACAACTTCGATTCCCGGTGATTAACACATGTAAGTAGATATATGAGGCGGTTTCTGGATCAGGAAGTGACGTCACGAACTCGATGGCCAGCGTCTATCGAGTTCGGCGCGCTCCTTCAGCGGCTTCTTGTGGGCATTG